GCCATTCTTCTTTACTTTGGAAAGCCTTTCAAATAAGCAGCAATTATTTTTTACTTCATAGGCACTTTAATATGATTATTTTTCTACTATCTTGATCCAGCTCCTAAGTATGTAATTTTATCAATCTTAAAATTTGAATAAGTTAAGCTCAGTTATTTTTACTCCAAAATGTTCAGCAATTGATGAAAGGGCCAATAGAAACCAATGATCTGGAGGTAACAATCAAAGGACCCTTGGAGTCAGTTCATTCATGTGATGGTTAATTTGCATTAATTACATGCCCTTTTGTTATGAAATATTGGTACAGTTAAACCCTGTTAATTCAAACCCTCAAGGGAAACGACAGTTCCAAATAGTAGGGGTTAAGTGCAAATAGATATCATTATACTTGAGCACTTGTTTGATAAAAACGATATCTATATTCCTCATGGAGACTGGAAATTCCAGAGGGTAGGCAAGCAGGAGGCAGGAGGAGAAGAGGTCAGACAGTCTTCTCTGTGGAGGGGATGGGCATTATCTGGGATCACACATTGCTGCTCCATTCCCACAAACACTAACACCTCACAAATCATTTTTAACTAATTGCTGTTGACAGGAACTTTGGGAAGATTGAAGGTTAGCTTTTGGGCACTAGGATCTCTCGCATGGTTTGGGTAACCAATGTGAGCTATAATTGGTCCATGATTGCCTTTGGAAACCACTGATCAATCATAGCTCATGCTTAGTATCCAAAGTGAACCATCCTAGAAATGCTAGTGCCAAAAGCTGGCACTCAGTCTCCCAAGGCTAGAGAGTTTCTGTGAAGGGCAATAGGTTGCCTACTGTCAAAGTCTGTGTTATAACCAATCGCTAGCAAGATCTTCAACCACAGAAAACATTAGATGAGTTTCCATCAGTCATGGATCAAATTTGCTTATTTAAAGCCTTTGTTTTTGTTATTCAAGAATTTAGATAACTGCTGTTACATCCTACAAACACTAGCAAAGAGGGTTTGGGATATGTTAAACATGAAAAAACTACTTTCATGAACAAATGCATTGTGTTTGGCCGATCCGACATGAAAGTATGACCCGCAGGGGTTGTAGTGGAATCACCACAAGAGTGAATGATAGAAATGAGGGTCATTATTTTAATAACAACAAAAAAAGACGAAGAATATTTATTTGATGAAAATGAAAACTTTCCATTAAATTTTTGTAATTTATGCAAATTGAGTGCAAATTTATTTGAGAAAAAACAGCAAAAAATTGAATGTTCCTTTCGAGTGAATGAATAAATGACGAACAAATAAACAAACAAACAAAGGAACAAACTAACGAATGAACGAAAGAATGAACACACAAATGAATGAACAATGATTGATGAATGACTGAATTCCTTGAATGATTGAATGAAAGAATGAATGAATGAACATGTGAATGAACAAACAAACAAATGAATGAATGGATGAACAAAATTCAATGAACAACTAACAAGTCTGTGTCAATTGTCAAGACTTAATTAACATTACAAAAACTCTAAATGGGGAGAAGGCAAAGTAAATTAAAAATGACTTGATCAATCTAAATATTGACATAAGATAAAAACTTGTTGTATAACTTCCAAATAAAAGCTTACAATTAGCACGGTAATTATTAGTCAGTCAGTCAATCTTACAAATAAGTCAATCTTATGAACATTATTCTTGAAAGGCGATAATATTGGCAAATTTCTAATTTCCCATAACTTTGGCTAAGTGTATCTGATACTGTGCTTGCCATTTGTCACTGTATAAAATCTAGGCTCATAAATCCTTTGTTAAGTGTTGCAGAAGTTAAAAAAAAAAAACATTACTGCCTCACCCTGCCCCAGCCCATACCGCCGTGTCAAAACTAATTGCTAGACTCATCTTCCACGCACATTTTTAAATATAAAGTGAAAACATGGCTTTTTAAACAAGCATTTTCAACCCATTGACTCCCGGAGATTTTTGCCAAAAACACATTTTTAGGTAAAAGGTAAAGAATCCAATCCCACTGACGTGTTCGCCGATGTGTCGGTCAACAGTCATTTTTTGGACATTTTGGAGATTTTCAGCCTGGATATGAGCCAAATTAGCTCCAATCTTCTCAGAAATGCATTTGCGACATGAAAGCATGCCTTTCTTTCCACAAGCATTGTGTTTTACAACATTTTTGTTCAGGCATCTGCAGTAATCAAAATTTTGAGAGAAAGTGACCTATGTCTTTAGGCTTTTCACTTTTTTCTTTTTTTTCATCTTCCTTTTTCTCCTTTTCTTATCCTTTTGCTGCGGTGATTGGCCCTCTACTGGGCTTGCTTCCAGTTCCAAATTTCTAGAGTAGCTAAGGAAATTTGGCTGCAAATTTTTCACTCAAATTTCTGCACATTTTTGTGCATTTTTCAGGCTCCATTGAGCCAATCACTCAGATCTGGGTCTCACTGGAGAGATCCCTTCCTCCTGTAGAACTTAAGTACAGATGATGCCAATTTTTGTAAAAGGTGATGACACCAGAAATGGAACAAAGGCCAACACTCATCATGGCTGGTTACAGGGTGGACTTGATGGGTTAAATTGAAGTTTTTAATTTTTATTTAAATTATTTTTTTTAATTTTTCTGTTTTTTACATTTTCTTATTTTTTTTTTATAGTAGGTATTTGCTTTTAAATTCAATTTCTTGTAAAGTGCCATTGAACCATTGGGAGATGGCGCTATAAAAATTAGTAGCAGCAGCAGCAGCAGCAGTAGTAATAGGAGTAGTAGGAGGAGTAGGAGGAGGAGGAGGAGGGGTAGTGGCAGTGGCAGTGGCAGTGGTAGTGGCAGTGGCAGTGGCAGTGGCAGTGGCAGTGGCAGTGGTAGTGGTAGTGGTAGTGGTAGTGGTGGTGGTGGTGGTAGTGGTAGTGGCACTGGTAGTAGTAGTAGTAGTAGCATTAGTATCATTATTATCAGAGCGGTTTTCAATTGAGTGTCGTAAAACCAAACCCAAACCGATTACTTACCAATTAGACTACCCAACCAATCTCAAACCATAGTAAAACCAAAACCAAAACCAAAGTAATTGCCTAATTATTTTCA